ACTTATTTTTATTCAGAACTTATAAGCCCAAGAACATTTACAAATCTGTTACCAGCCTCTGAGGAGATGGTTTTCCAAGTTCTTTGGTGTGATCATGGGAAAAGAATTCAGGATGCACCATGTAAGCAAGCAAGAAAGGGTTTTCTTTGAAAGCAAAAGTACCCTCTCTGGAGAGGGCAAGCTTGAAAAGAGCAGCGCGCGCTGGGAGGAGGTGGTTTTAGATCCTTTATAGTTTTACTAATTGAAGGGAGGAATATTCAAGACCAAGGGTTAGCTTTACTAAGAATTTAGGTAGTAATTCTTAGAATTGGGTTCCCTCTCATTTTCATAGTTTACTTAGTTGTCTCTCAACTGTCATGGTGGCCAGGCGCGGTGGCTCACACCTGTAATCCCAGCACTCTGGGAGGCCCAGGCAGACAGTTGCTTGAGGTCAGGAGTTCGAAATCAGCCTGAGCAAGAGCAAGACCCGTCTCTACTACTTAAATAGAAAGAAATTAATTGGCCAACTAAATATATAGAAAAAATTAGCCAGGCATGGTGGTGCATGCCTGTAGTCCCAGCTACTCAGAAGGCTGAGGCAGCAGGATTGCTTGAGCCCAGGAGTTTGAGGTTGCTGTGAGCTAGGCTGACGCACGGCACTCACTCTAGCCTGGGCAACAAAGCGAGACTCTGTCTCAAAAAAAAAAAAAAAAGAAAAAAAAAGAACTGTCATGGTGATTTCAAGGGTGGAGAAATTTAAAAACCACAATACAAATGATGTAATTAGCCAAAGTTCATGTAAGGTGACAGAGATAGCTGGCAAGCTGGTTGAACTTGATTCTTGCTGCCAGTTACTGACCCCTCTAATCAACTTCTTTGGGGAGTCGTTGAACACCTGCCCCCAATCTGCAGGTCCCTGCATCTGGTCTCATTCCTCTTAGTCTCCTTCTCTAGCAAATCCATCTCTTATTTTCTTTTTCCTTAGGTCAGTCTCTTTTAAATATTCCCAATATCTTTAATCATTTTTAAATGATTAAATGTCTTCTTTGGACATCCCAAAATTTTATATACCCCTCCAATTTGGGGCACTTACATCTAAATAATAAAAGGAGATCTTGGCAACTAATTTCTCCACCAAATTTTCACTTTTAAGAATTTAACGGATGGCCAGGCATGGTGGCTCATGCCTGTAATCCTAGCACTTTGGGAGGCTGAGGCCGACCAATCTCTCAAGGTCAGAAGTTTGAGACCAGCCTGAGCAAGAGACCCCATTTCTACTAAAAAAATAGAAAAAAATTAATTAGCCAACTAAAAAACATATTGAAAAAATTAGCCAGGCATGGTGGCACTTGACTGTACTCCCAACTACTCAGGAGGCTGAGGCAGAGGATCACTTGAGCCCAGGAGTTTGAGGATGCTATGAGCTAGGGTGATGCCACGATACTCTACCCAGAGCAACAGAGTGAGACTCTGTCTCAAAACAAAACAAAACAAAATAATTTAGTGCTTGCAAAAACTGTTGAAAAGCTAATCCAATGAATAAGCATATATTGATGACCTAGATTCAAAATTGTAATATCTTTGACATTTTTGCATTTATAAATTTGTCAAATATCTTTGACATTTATAAATTTGGCAGTTTTGAGCTATTTGAAATGGCATAGGCTTCATGAAACAGCAATCCTGTCTCCCTAGGGCTTCCTTGGACTAAGGACATGATCAAACATAAACACTAGCCCCTATCACACCTCAAAATTAGTAATTCCCTATGTCATATAATTTATGCTCCATATTAAAATCTCCCCAAATGTCTTTTACACCTATTTATCTTGAACCAGAATCTAGTCAAATTTCTAGCACTACTTTTGGTCTCTTTATTTTATTTTATGTTTTTTATTGTTTTTGAGAGGTCTCACTCAGTCACAGTTTTTCTGAAATCTAGAATAGCTACCCTCCTTTTTTTATTGTGATAATATATATACATATACAATATTAAAAGTCTACTGCAACCTTATTGAAGTATAAACTGAGTAGAATTAATTACATTCACACAGTTTGCAAACATCACCACTATCTGTTTCCCAAACATTTTCATCATCCCAAACTAACTCTGTAACCATTGAGCAGTAGCTCCCCATTTCCCTGTCCCCAGCCCCTAGTAACCTCTAATCTACTTTCTTTTTTTTTTTTTGAGACAGAGTCTCGCTTTGTTGCCCAGGCTAGAGTGAGTACCGTGGCATCAGCCTAGCTCATGGCAACCTCAGTCTCCTGGGCTCAAGCAATGCTCCTGCCTCAGCATCCCGAGTAGCTGGGACTACAGGCATCTGCCACCATGCCTGGCTAATTTTTTTCTATATATATTAGTTGGTCAATTAATTTGTTTCTATTTAGTGTAGAGACGGGGTCTTGCTCTTGCTCTTGCTCAGGCTGGTTTCGAACTCCTGACTTTGTCTGCCTGGGCCTCCCAGAGTGCTAGGATTACAGGTGTGAGCCACCATGCCCGGCCTAATCTTTCTATGTCTGTGGATTTGCCTCTCTAGATATTTCATATAAGTGAAATGACACATTATTTGTCTTTTCATATCTGGCTTCTTACACTTGGCATAATGTTACAGGGCTCATCCATACTGTGGCATCCACAATTATTTCACTCCTTTCTACATGAATAAATAATATTCCCTTGTATAAATCTACCATATTTTGTTTGTCTATTCATCTATAAGGGATACTTGGGCTGTTGTCTACATTTTGGCTATTGTGAATAATGTTGTGATGAACGTTGTTCTACAGATATTCGTTTGAATGTGTCTGTTTTCAATTTTGAGTAGAAACCTAGGAATGGAATTGCTGGGTTATATGGTAATTGTACATTTAGCTTTTTGAGGAGCCACCAAACTGTTTTGCTACGTCATTTTTCATTCCCCACTAAGAACATACAAAGTTTCAATTTATCTACATTCTCACCAACATTTATTTTTCTGTTTTTTAAATTATAGCCAAATAAATGGAAGAAGAGGGGAGCCCCTCTCCTCTCCTCATCCATGTAGTCCTGGTGATAATGTCTGTAACTGGATTCTGACATGGAGTGGATTCAATTTATGGCCTGAGATAACCAGAATATCCGAGTCTCCCATCTAGAATGGTTGGTTCAGGTTGGGCACATGACCCATGAAGGGATGATCACAGACTTATCTGGAGATAATGAATAAACATTGGTAAAGAGAATTTCTATGTGGACTGCGATTGCTAGTCTGAGGGGATGTGAGCTTGGAGCTTCTGATGGACATCTTGCTGTGACATGAAGAGGGACGGCCTAAGGAATGAAGTTGAGCAGTAAGGTGGAGAAATGCAGGGTCTCAATGCTATTATTTGGGTCCCTGAATGTAGCCCTGCCTGAGACACATGGGCTTTGCAAGAAGACACTTTGGACTTTACAATTGCATCAACCAATAAATTCCATTTCACCTTGGGTGGATATGAGTTAGTTTTCATTGTAAAAACGTATTTACTAATTCAGTACCTATTCTCCTCCCCAACCCCAGATCTTTCATAATTAGTATTGTGTTTTGGTTTTTTGTTGGTGGTGTTTGGTTATTTGTTTTGTTTTTATTAGATTATCTTCAAATATAGAATGTCCCGAACTTGTCATCTAATAGCATGTGTCTGATGGCTACATAAAGGCTCATTATAACCCTGAGGTTTGGGTTCGAGTTTCTGGGAGCAAGTGAATGTTATTTATTAAGACACAATAGTCCAAATGAGAAGCACAGTTCATAAATAAGTAAAAATGGAAGATTGGTTAGATGGACACTCTGGTTTCAAGAGGGCATTCTTTTCAGGGATTGTACTGTCACCTCTGACCCAGGGTTCATGATTTTTGAGAGTAACTCTTTAATTTTAGCAGCCCAGGAAAGGAAACCTGCCAGTGCATGACATCAAATGCTTTATAGGCACCTTATAAACAGACTTGCCTTCAGGAGAAGTATCGAGGAAAATTCTTGAGGATGATACATATTGGACTCAGGAATTCTCTTTCCTCACTGGAGTTCATGTTCTACCAATTTATAAATGGACTCAGCAATGGTTTCTATTATATTTCTATCTCATTCTCCCCAAAATCAAAATATGGAAGAAAAGACTTGTCATCTTGCTCCTTGTAAAAACAACTATTGACATGCAAAGATAAGAATATGACACTATTTCCAAATGACATTTATCCAGAGTACAGATGATTGAGCAGAGAGTGAGGGATGCCAACATATTTTAACCCCTTTAGTCTCACGTGGTGGACATGGTCCTAGCTCAGTGCAGTGATGAGGTTAGGAGACATGAGGTGTTTGGCATAAACGACCTCATTTAATCACTATCACCACAACTTGACAAAGTGAATATTATTTCTCCACTCTGTAGATGATGAAATTTTGTGATTTAGCAAAGCTTGGAAGATTTCCAAGGTCATACAAGTGGTAATGGTGGCTCTGGGAATTTAGACAGATCCCTGAAACCCTGAAGGTTATTATTTTATCCCCTATATGGCATCACACGTTGCCTAAGAAGGACACCACCCCAGCTTGTGTGGGAGATAAAGTACAGCATCCTGAGTTTTCTCCAAATAGTTTTAGGCAACCAGTTACTACTCGAAGATTGCTATCTGTCAATCTCTGAACCCAAATTACACAACTCGGGGCCGACAGGTCTTTAATTATCAGAGCATGACTCAAAAAGAGCCGCAAGGAAAGAAGGGACAATTAAATCTCTGCATTGTTATCCAATGAAGCCTTGGGGAATACAGCCCCTAGTGCGGCATGAGCTGCCAGATAAAGCTTGCCCTGTGATTCTTGTTCCAACATTCCTTCCTCTACCAAAGTGCTGGAGTCTGTGTTTCTGCTTTTATTCCTGCAGACTTAGCCTGAAAACTCCAGTGATGAGTCTCCCTCCCTGAACGAATGACTCCTTGCTTGGTCTAAAAAAGTGAAGCAAGGCGTACAGGTGAGGACTGCCATATTCTGGGCAAGAGTCAATCATGGCAGACTGCATGAAAACTGCTTTCGGGGGAACATTCAGAGGGATCACACTCCTCCTCTCCTTTTAGAGCCACAGCAAACCATCCTGAGATCCTGCGTGTTTCCTCATACATAACAGTAATGACCAGGTACCTTGTGCTTGTTCTTTTATGGAGATCCATGCTTTGGGACACAATTGGGTGAGTTTCTCCCACATATGTGGGGTCATTTCCTCTTTAATTTTATAACTGGCGACTCAGGGAGTTGAGCCAGAAGCTGGCTTTTGACTCTCTATAGTGTTCTGTAAACGGTAGGCCATAGAGAAATAGTGGCCACACAATTATATCATGACCGACCTGAGAGCAAATTCAGCACATTCCCCAAGTGGTTTGCATTTATCCTATTTTTGTCCTCCTCTGGGCCAAGGAATCCCAGGCTGATGAAAGGAACAAACCAGTCAATGTTCCGAGTTCCTCCTGCTGAGTCTTCTCCTCGGAGCCCAAGCACAGCCAGCTCCTCTTCGATGCCTCTTCCTGAGCATTACTTGGGCCACGGTTCCTGGGAAAACTGCTGCCCTCATCCTGGCTGTTCATGCACTTGACTCCCGCGCTGCACACCCATGTACTTTTCCTCCGGCAACCTGTCCTTCGTGAAGTCGTGCTTCTCCTCCACCGCCACCACCCAAAGATTGCTGGCACATCAGTGCTTTGGGATCCAGACCATCCCCCATTCGTTTTTTTTTTTTTTCCCCTTTTTCTCGGCTGCCTCACACAGTTTTTTTCTCACCCGTTTGCCACATGGACAATTTCCTCCTGGCTGTGATGGCCTATGACCGCTTTGTGGCCGTGTGCCACCCCTTACATTACATGACAAAGATGACCCATCAGCTCTGTGTCCTGCTGGTCGCTGGGTCGTGGGTCGTGGCCAACCTGAGTGCTTTGTTGCACACCCTGCTGATGGCTGGACTCTCATTCTGTGCAGACAACACCATCCCCCACTTCTTCTGTGATGTGACTCCTCTTCTAAAACTCTCCTGCTCAGACACTCACCTCAATGAGATGATGATTCTCACTGAGGGCGGCCTGGTCACTGTCACCCCACTTGTTTGCATCTTGGCTTCCTATGTGCACATCACCTGTGCTGTCCTGAGAGCTCCAACCACAAAGGGAAGATGGAAAGCCTTCTCCACCTGTGGCTCCCACCTGGCTGTTGTGTTCCTCTTCTATGGCACCATCATTGCTATTTATTTAAACCCCTCGTCCTCTCACTCAGCTGAGAAAGACACCGCAGCTACCGTGTTGTATACAGTGGTGACCCCCATGCTAAACCCTTTCATCTACAGCCTAAGGAACAGGGATTTGAAAAGGGCTCTGGGAAAGGTGTTTGGCAGAAAGGCATGCTTATACAGGTGTTAAGTGCTGTGGACCTATCGCATCATTCCCTGGCATAGAATCTTTCCCATCTCATTGAAATACAGCAATGTACTTGTTGTAGTGTCTTCAAGGAACTTAGACTACATATGCTTGGTAGATACTTAGCAGTCAACTCTGCTCTCTTAAGCAAGTAATGGTCTTTGTTTTTAATTATTATATTTTAAATTCTTTTACATACAAGGCAGAGTTTTCCTTTCTAAGTCATCACTGTGAAAGGCTACATGCTACAAATATTTTTTCACTCCTTTTTTTTAATAGTTCTTAGAATCTACAGCAGTGTGGAATCTACAGTCCTGGCTGCATGTTATCATAACCTGGGGCACTTTTAAAATACATACGGCAGGTGCCCCAACAGGGTTGTTTCATTACGACTGTGATGAGAAAAAAGATCCATCCCTGCCTCGGAGCACCATGTGTGGTTTTCACATGTTCTCCCCATGTCTGTGTGGGCTTTCTCTGGGTAGTCTGATTTCCTCCCACATCCCAAAGATGTGCCTGTGAAGTGAGCTGGTGTGTCTACATTGTCCCACTAGGAGTGAGCGTGGCCTATGATGGAAGGACGTCCTGTCTTGGGTGATTCCTGCCTGCACCCTGGACTGCTGGATAGGCTCCAGCCACACATGACCCTGAGCTAGAATAGTGTAAATAGTTGTCTTATTTGTTTTCATTAATCTTTCTTATATGTATGTAGAACTTACATGTAATTCAATGTGTAATATTGGAAGTTTTTTGGTTTTTATTTAGACGTTTGGTGGTGTTTTTGTGACCAAAAGTGTGCTGTGGAAACAAGTCTTGTCTGTATCAGCTAGCCTACAGTAAAACTGGTTCCATCATATGCCATTTTGCTTAAGGTCAAAGCTTCCAAGAACCTGTTTACGGATGTTGGACCAAACCTCAACTGGTTAGATCAGAATCTCTGGTTGGGACCTGGTCGGTGGTATTTTTCCCCATTAGATTCCCCAGGGTGGTCTGTGCACCTTCTGAGCTGACAGTCACACTGCACTGGCTGTGTTTTGTGATTGCTCATCACAAAGAGTGAGCCTAGAGCCCTTCTGAAGAAATCTTAAGTCCATTGTGGGCAAAACCAGGAGGGGGGAAAGGAACTCACTGGAAGTTCTCTGTGGACCAAAGTGCTATGCTGAAAAGGTTGGTCCTTTGGCCATAATCCACACTCCTGGTCCTCACAGGGAACCCTAAGAACAATTCACAAGTTTCAGTGTCTCATCATCCATCTTGAATGCCTGACTTTACAGGTGCATATTGAATATAACGTGTGCCTTTGAAGCAACACATCCACGTTTATGATTCTGTCTCTCCAGGATGCCTCTCTGTCTTCTCCCTGGGTAGCAAGGTCTCCCTGAACCTTCCAGACCCAAGTCTCCTGCTCTGTGAAGCCTTTGCTGAGTCCTCTAGACTGAGACTGTCATTCCCTCTCCTGGATTCCCCCAGAAAGCTTATCTTTGATTACTGGACATGTATGGCTCTGTAGTCTGTTCATTGCTAGCTGCTGTCTTGACTCTGCCTTCATCCTCAGGACCCTACATGTGTGAGGTGTCGGGACTCAGCTGTCCCCTGTGCACCTGCACCTTGGAAGCCCCACAGAAACCTCAGTCCGGACACAAATTACACATGCAGCCCACTTTCCCTGAATGAGTGAATGAATGAACATCATCTTAACTTTCAAGTTGACATCCTTAATTCGGCCAGTAGCTTGACAATCATATTCTGAGAATCATAATACAATATTTACAAACTGCAAAAGATTTCAAAATATATGAGAAAGTTAATCTGTAAAAGCACTATTAAAAACATATAGAAATAATTTTAACCAATGTTGACCTCAGGTTATATCTTCTATTTTGTGACCTCATTTTTGCACTTATCATTTCCCATGTCATCAAATACCTTAGAAATGTGATGTTTGTGGTTGTATGATAGTTCATGATATGGACGTATTGTCATTTATTTGACTTATCCTAGGTTTTAGCAGATTCAATTACATTGCAGGAGATATCAGGCTCACATAACTTTGCACCCATTAACATTTCCACAGATAACTTGTTAGAGCCTTTTCAACAGCAGGGGCAAAAATTGGGTCTGAGTTCTTTACCCAGTTATTTCCACCCAGTCGCCCTGGCCCTTTCTGTCATGGGCACCATATCTCCTGCTTGGTGACAAAGCCTCCCAAAGCTCCCTCACCCAATTGAGTCAGCCAGGCCTAAGGTTCATGAATGTTATGCAGTCACTGTGGATGTGCTCATAGTAACTTTGTTCTTTAATCCTTTCTTAGCTTAAATTCTAACTGTTCAATAATAAAAGTCACTACCTAGGCTTTCTCGTGGTTTGGGCTTTCCAAGTATATACCTGCTTGTTTTCTCCAATGTTGTCTGAGTTGTGTGACTAGAGAAATGGGCTCTTTTCCTTGGTTTCTTGGGTTTGTTTCAGTGGCTTTCCTGCTACATCTACTTCTGTTAGAAACAAAAAATATGAGCCCAGACCCTTTCTGGAAAAGAAGAGTCGGCCTCTACTAGTTTCATTTTTTTAAAAAATGAGTATATTTGGGAATGGGTGGGAGTGAATGTATTTGGGCTGGGAGGGAAGCAGGAGAAGAAAATGGGGGCGTGAGTGAGTGTGCCTGTGTCTGAAATTCACTATTTGCCCCACCTGTACCTAATAAGGAGCAGGTGATAGATGTATTTTGCTCATGACTGCAGTGTGCATGTATTTTTTTTCCTCCTCTGTGTTTTATAAACTTACAGTAAAAGGATTCATCAAATCATGTTGTTCAGATGTCTCAGGATTGTATTTTCTTTTGCTTACCCTGTACTCTTGGGTTCTATAGTATTTCTATAATTATGTAACAAGAATAGTGTTGCACTGTAATCTATCATATAGAGCTATATGTATGGAAAATTTTGATCAGTTTTTTAAGAAATGTATCCTGTTTTCAAAGGCATAATAAGGTTGCATCTTATAGACTATAGGCAATAAAGCTAACAATAAACCTTATTTAACACACACACACACACACACACAAAAAATGAGTATACAGGCAGCTGAAGTCTTCCCCTCCCGTAGTGACAGAGCTTCTGGGTTTGTGATCCGTACAGATTCTGCACCTCGTGCCCCAGCAGGTAAATTTAACATGATGGATTTTTCCAAGCTACCCAAATTACTTGATGAAGATAAAGAAAGCACATTTGGTTATGTGCATGGAGTCTCAGGACCTGTGGTTACAGCCTGTGACATGGCAGGTGCAGCCATGTATGAGCTGCTGAGAGTAGGCCACAGCAAGTTGGTTGGAGAGATTATTCGATTGGAAGGTGATATGGCCACTATTCAGGTGTATGAAGAAACATCTGGTGTGTCTGTTGGAGATCCTGTACTTCGCACTCGTAAACCCCTCTCAGTGCAGCTTGGTCTGGCATTATGGGAGCCATTTTTGATGGTATTCAAAGACCTTTGTCAAATATCAGCAGTCAGACCCAAAGCATCTATATCCCCAGAGGAGTAAATGTGTCTGCTCTTAGCAGAGATATCAAATGGGATTTTACACCTTGCAAAAACCTACAGGTGGGTAGTCATATTACTGGTGGAGATATTTATGGAATTGTCAATGAGAATTCCCTCATCAAACACAAAATCATGTTGCCCTCACGAAATAGAGGAACTGTAACTTACATTGCTCCACCTGGGAATTATGATACCTCTGATGTTGTCTTGGAATTTGAATTTGAAGGTGTAAAGGAGAAGTTCAGTATGGGTCCAATATGGCCTGTACGTCAAGTTCGGCCTGTCACTGAGAAGCTGCTGGCCAATCATCCTCTGTTGACTGGCCAGAGAGTCCTTGATGCTCTTTTCCCGTGTGTACAGGGAGGAACTACTGCTATCCCTGGGGCTTTTGGCTGTGGTAAGACAGTGATATCGCAGTCTCTATCCAAGTATTCCAACAGTGATGTAATCATCTATGTAAGATGTGGTGAAAGAGGAAATGAGATGTCTGAAGTTCTCCGGGATTTCCCAGAGCTCACAATGGAAGTTGATGGTAAGGTAGAGTCCATTATGAAGAGGACAGCTTTGGTAGCCAATACCTCTAATATGCCTGTTGCTGCTAGAGAAGCCTCTATTTATACTGGAATTACACTGTCAGAATATTTCCGTGACATGGGCTATCATGTCAGTATGATGGCTGACTCTACCTCTAGATGGGCTGAGGCCCTTAGAGAAATCTCTGGTCGTTTAGCTGAAATGGCTGCAGATAGTGGATATCCTGCATATCTTGGTGCCCGTCTGGCCTCTTTTTATGAGCGAGCAGGCAGAGTGAAATATCTTGGAAATCCTGAAAGAGAAGGAAGTGTCAGCATTGTAGGAGCAGTTTCTCCACCTGGTGGTGATTTTTCTGATCCAGTTACATCTGCTACTCTTGGTATTGTTCAGATGTTCTGGGGCTTAGATAAGAAAAACTAGCTCAACAGTAAGCATTTCCCCTCTGTCAATTGGCTCATAAGCTACAGCAAGTACATGCTGCCTTGGATGAGTTACTATGACAACACTACAGGATTTGTTCCTCTGAGGACCAAAGCAAAGGAGATTCTGCAGAAGAAGAAGACCTGGCAGAATTGTACAGCTTGTGGAAAAGTCTTCTTTAGCAGAACAGATAAAATTACCCTGGAGTAGCAAAAACTTATCAAAGATGACTTCCTACAACAAAATGGTATACTCCTTATGACAAGTTTCGGCCATTCTATAAACAGTAGGGATGTCCAACATGATGCATTTTAGATATGGCCGTAGAGCTGGAACCACTGCCCAGTAGTGATATAAAATCACATGTCCATTATCCGTGAGACAATGGGAGAGATCCTGTATAGACTTTCCTCCATGAAACTAAAGGATCCAGTGAAAGATGGTGAGGCAAAGATCAAGAGCGACTATGCACAGCTTCTTGAAGATACTGCGAATGCATTCCGTAGCCTTGAAATTAGAACTGTGACTTCTTTCCTCCTTTGCCTCAGCAAGCTTATGTGATATTTCCTAAATTCCTCATCTCAGACTCTTTGCTTCTCTATTGTGCAGCTTTGAGACTAGTGCGCCAAGTGTATTATCATATTGTTTCCCTGTTTATTTGGTAGGTCTATATAAACAAACATTCCTTTGTTTGGTGTTGTGAAGGGCTCCTGATCCTTTGTCCAAGTGGTGAATGTTAAGTAAATATGATAGTACATGGCTGACACTACTGTAAACTTGTATGTAGGGTATGAACACTCCTGTGTCCTATATGCCTTTCCAGATTCCATTAAATTCGTAAACAGGACTATCTGCATGTAACCTCTTTGCAGTGGTTTGGATGGTAAAGCACCGATTTCATACTTATTTGAACGGTACTTGTCTCAGATATCTATGGATAAGTCCTTTGCAGCTTAGCTTTGCAAAGTAATTGCTTGCAGAAAATTATTTTAAAACCTTAACGAATAAAAACAACCAACAATGTTAATGTTCCATTTATGCATTGCTTATCCCCACAATAATAAGATCAGGAATAATTTAATGGGAAAACTGTTAGGAATTATATCTGTATTAAAAAGATTTGTGGGTTTCAGCAACATCATTGAATCCAGTATCGCTCTAAAAAAGTGAAAAAGGCCAGGCGTCAAACTTATGTTCAAACATCCTGTCTTGTTTAAAGCTATTTTTTTCACTAGGAAAAACTTCAGCTATCAGGATTTACTATATGCAGATTACTAGGAAATTCTTTTTAATATACTTATAAGCAATCACTGAAATTTGTACTCAAACATCAACTTCTTTCCTCACAAACAAATCTTAGAAGCACAAACTCTAAGAACCAAATAGTGCAGTTTGTGTATGGCAGTCATATGTCACGAGAGAAGATTATTACGTATGATTAAAGGTTGTTTGCACTTTAAGGACCAGCTGGGCTGTAGAGATTCTGCGGAGTGGCACTTATGATTTTTACAAAAATAATAACACTGTTACATGTCATTGCATGTTCATATGCTGATGAATTTTTGAACAAGCCAGTTTACCAAATGGTAGAAAATATTATCTCAATTTCATGCGGTTATTGATTCACTGGTTCAAAAAGGTTCTCAGAATATTTAGTGAGCTGCAGCCAGCAGTACACAGTCCATTCTGTTTAAATAGGTATGATTCTTATCCTGTATAAACATGAATCTGAGTCATATGAAAAGATATTATCCTGCTTTATAAGTATTGTTTAAAAGATAATCTCTGTGTTTTGTATAAGATGGCCACTGAGAATAGCTCTGATGAGGCAAGTTTCACTAATTAACTTTTCTTGACCAATATGTGCTGGCCACCCATTGTTCTCTTCTTGGGAAGATGGAAAGGATGTGAACATGTCTTAACAATCTCACCAATACTAATATCAATAGCATATAATAAAAGTTATTTTACTGCCCTGGCAATTTATTATCCTAAATTTGAAGTAGTGCATTGCAATTTTGGGCTGTTTAAGGAAAAATAACAGTAGGAATTTCAAGTATATTTTGGTTTCAAATTCTTGCAGATTGCATGTTGCGTTTATGTGACCTGTCCTACCACGAAAGGTATTCTTTCCATTGTTTTTTTAGCCTTTCAAATATTGAAGAAAAATTAGAAGTGATTTGTTGATGATGTAGACTTAATGTCTGCTACTCAGTTTGCTTCCAATGTGGCTCTCTACTCGTGGCCCTAAGACTAGGGAATAAAAAACTGATTTCAAAAGCTTTCTAATATTACCTTAACCTACACCAAATTAGATTGTGATAGAATGAATGATATGATGAAGAAGTTGGACAATGTTTTAGGTTTTGAAATTTGAGCATTCCTATCATTGTGAGATGTGAACTGTAATGATGTTACGAATGTACGCAGATACTATGCTCAGATACTCATTGTAAGTTTCCCTTCCGATGTATCTGTGAATTTCATTTGGTCACTGATCATATTTTCTTAGAGAAAAAGATGGTTAAAATTAACGAACGATGCTTTAAAAATGATGATGTAGTTCTTATTATTAATTATGCTTGCCTGGCCTAAGTGGACCAGTTAAAATTTCCATATTGTATAATTCCAGTATTAAAATCGTCACCCTTGTACCCTTTGGAACTTACTTCCATCCTGACAGAAAGAATTAAGAGGCCATAAATATATTGCTCCTATATTCTTGAGATTTCCTATCTTTATAAATAAAAGTTGTGTATAATTGTTAAAAATCTGTGAAAGAATAAAATGTGGATTTAAATTTAAAAAAATGAGTATACAATTAATATAGCCTTGGTATAGATTTTTTAAAGAAAATGCAGGCAATTATGAAGAAGTCCAAACTTCTAATTATTCTTCATTCAATGAAACCTCCATAAATAGCTTTTGTATTTCTACCTAGTCTTTTTCCAGGACCCCACTAGGTGAATTTGCTCCTGTTCACCCTTGGCCCTATTTTCATCAAATGGACTTCACCTAGTAGACTGGGCGGTTGAGAGACTCAACTCAGAGTGTAAGAGACCACAACTGGAATTCTTTCTCTGCCTCTTACTGGTGTGTGACTGTGGCCACTTTATCATCCTAAAGTGGGGATAATCATAGCTGCTGCCAAGAGATGGTTATCATGAGCAGACTCATACGGTCTGGTATGAATAATGGATTGAATGTAGGCCCCCCCACCCCGAATATGTCCACTTGAAACCTGTGAATAAGACCTATTTAAAGAAAGGTTCTTTGCAGATGTAACTCAGTTGAGGATTTTAAGAATAGATCATCCTGGATCAACCTTCTCTGTGCATAAGTATCAGGCACTCATTTAAGAATGAAAATGGTGGGCTGTACTCCAAACATTCTGATTCCATGGTTCTGAGGTGACGCCCAAGGGTCTGTATTTTAACAAACACTCTGCTAATTCTGACCCATGTGGTTCACAGGTCACATTTTATTGCTGTAGAGGAAATTGATTAAACATCCAGGATCTGAAACCAGAAAACCTGGATTAAAGTCATGAATCTACCCCTTGCCAGCTGGGTATCCTAGAGAAAATGTACTAACCTTTCTGAATTTCGGTTTCCTTATCTGTAAAACAGGTACCATGTTGGTGCCTACCACAGTGGATTATTTTTGTTAGAACTATAATAAATGGAAGAATGTATGCCAAGTACCTGAAATATCACAAATGTGATATTTGTGAGCTCTTCAGCTTGCCAGCTTTTAAGTTTCTAGGTCAAAGGGTGGGCAACTTGTATTTGTACCAGGCTTTCTCACACTTTTAGTGATGCAATTGTCCACCATACCCTTCTCTGCCGACGTACTCCAGTAGGATGAGCTTTTTATTTCCTGTATGCTCTTGGATTTGTGGCCTGGGCCTGCTGTAATACCAAGAGATGTCACCACCACTGTCCTGGTCTGAGCCTCCCTTGTTCCTCACTTAACATATTTTTATTCACAACTTATAAGCCCAAGAACATTTACAAATCTGTTACCAGCCTCTTAGGGGATGGTTTTCCAAGTTCTTGGTGATCATGTGGAAAAAAAATTCAGGACATACCCTCTAAGCCTGGCAAGAAATGGCATTTTATTGAGAACAAAAGTACCCTCTCATGAGAGACAGTGGGCAAGCTTGAAGAAGAGCAGCTGCACTGGGAGGAGGTGG